GCTGGTAGATATAAGTACTGAAAGCAATTCCACAGAAACTAAATTTATGAAAATTATTCTTGCAAGAGTTAATTAACATGAAAGTCTATGGGAATTTCACTATTGATGACTCACTTATGGTCAACTACTGTAGATCCACACCTGAAAGAGCTAATCACAGCTGTATGATTTTATGTTCACTCAGTGGGTGAAATTGACCTTTTACTTTTAGGCCAGTGTACATTCTTGTACTTAGACGCAGTTCCGGTGCGGCAAAAAAACCCCGAAAACATCTCTCATTCTGACGCCTGATATTCATACTGACTTTTCGCACTGATATATTGTTTTCTTATTTTAGATATATATCTACCGACTAATAGATAAAAAAAACCCCCAAAACAGTCAATAACCATTACTAATTTCAGGAACTAACCAAATCTGTAAGACTTGAATTCAGTAAAATTACTTATAGGCCAAATGTAGAGATAGCATAACACATTACAATCGGTTTTATCACCCACACTGCATATTTTGACCATGGGGGTAATACTCATTGACATGGGTTTGCTCAAATAATGAGCTGATACTGCAGTGTTGAGGAAGACTTGTAGTTATAGTTTCATGATGTTACTCTCCATTGCCGCTCTTTGCTGTTTCCTCTGATAGCTGAACTACACATTTTTATATCAGCTACACATTTCCTAAATTGTCCATGCAAAGGAAATATGCATTTGCTCTCTTGACCATAATATGTTTCAGTTACATTATTTATATCAAGAGTTTCTAACTTTCAAATATAGCTTTTTGTACCCCTGCTTTCAACCCTGTCCCTTTGGGTGTTTATGTGCAGTGTATCTCCTCCAGTGGTCTATCAGAGTGAAAATATCAGTGTATAGTGATGAAATGTACCGGTATATTTTGCACCATTTTCATGCTAATAATAATAATTATCTCCATATGAGTACAAAGATTGTAGCCTACCACCTTATTACCTACAAGAAAAGGCTGTCTGGATCAAACCTTGTTTGTTTTTAGTAACCTGATACATTTTGTGGCTGGTTATGACAAGAATTTCTAATTACCAGATAACACAATAACTGATGCTGAGAGATCCTAAAAGATAAAAACTTTTGTTGCATTTGGCACAGGACTATAACCATGTCTGTCCACATGCCACTGCCACTCAGCCAGCATAATTATGACCAATACATCCTCCTACTCACAGGTGACTCAACTGACAACCATAAATGTTGGTATTTTTCTGCACTTCGTCCAAACTTGATATAGTTTGAAATGCTAGAGATTTTCCACTTCACTGGGGGCGGTGGGGTAGCCTAGTGGTTAAAGCGTTGGCTCGTCACGCCGAAGACCCGGGTTCGATTCCCCACATGGGCACAATGTGTTAAGCCCATTTCTGGTGTCCCCCGCCGTGATATTGCTGGAATATTGCTAAAAGCGGCGTCAAACTAAACTCAGTCAGTCAGTCCACTTCACTGATGCACTTGAATCTGTTAATTCATTATTGTGCATGAATACAGTCAGAATTCCCTTTTTGAGCTTTCATAATTCCATGGCAGCTATATCTTTGTATGTTTAATGCAGGCACATTTCCTCATTTCAAAGTCTAAATCCTGTACATTGTGTAACATAGGAAAGAGGGTAAACACCAGTGGACAGTATAAGATTAACTGAAAAATCAAGGATGAATCTCACTAAACACATTGAGACATGTTATAACTTATTGGTAGGTCAATAGACCAACTGTTTCTATGCAGGGATATGTTATTAGTTTTTTATGGTTTTTAAGTTCCCTTAGCGGTCAAATTGCATAAAAGGGTAAGTTTGTTCAAAGCGGGGGTTTCTTAAACAAACTATTTCTTGTTTTAAAATTGGAGGTGAAGTTTAACATTTCTTTCAATACAAACAGTAAGAATTAAAGCCTCTTCCTGTTGTAAGTTACCTTTACAAAGCCATAACAACAGTTTCAGAAATGCCTCTCTGATGCATCTATTCAGGTAGTGTGCTGTTCATCATTGGTCCATCATCGGCTAATAGTTTGCACTGTCGACTAATATCAACATCTCTGAACAGCACTGGGCAGACAGTATTGATATAAATCATAGAATCGATGATTGTTATTATGAATAGTAACTTTGAACAAAAATTAAAAAGAAACCTGAAAGAAATCAACATTTTGTATTACCGGTGAGTTTTGACATTTATGCATGGATGACTAACAAAATCCTGAACATGATTTAGAGGCAACCCATGAATAAAGACATAACTTTGTATATTGTGTGAGTAAATTGAAACTATGATATTATGGGTATTCTTAAATTCCATTCAAATTGACTTGATGGCACAAGTTTTTTCCTTTGGTCACCCTTCAACTCAAGTTCAAAGTTGACATAGACTGTAAAAAGTCAGAAAAGGTCTAGCCTGTCTCATAGTTCCTGAACTGCATGATTTTTACTTCCGTCTATGCTTTTCTGCAATGATAAAGACCTAATTTAAGCAAGTCTAGATTTACTTAGGTTCAGGAATCTCCCATCTCACTGGAGATCCTTTTCAGCTTAAAAGGAATTATTTGATTCTATCAAAATTATATATATTCAGAGACTCAGAAGTGCTAGTCTCAAATGGTCCTGTGCTAGTCTCAAATGGTCCTGTTAGACGTGGAAATCCTATCCAATCCAGTTTATGCCTGGTAAGTTAATTTTATTTTACAACAGTTTCTGAATATGAAACATTGTAAATTCATAATTTATGTATGGTGTTAGGGTGATAACTAAATCGTGTAGAATTTTAAATACTTTATCAGTTCAGAAGAAAAAATATTATTTCTTAAGCTCAGTTTTGAATTTAAGTTCATAATCATTTTGAGAATAATATTGTTAACATTTTAATGTTACATAATGCAGACCATTATGAACGGGATCAAAGAGCGTTGAGCTTGGCAGAGGAGAAATGTGATCTTCAAATTGCAGAATCAGAGGGGAGTCTCTGAGGCATTCCAAAGTGAGGAAGTAGTCACGATATGGCTGGAAATATTGCCGATGTGACTTTAAATCTTAACTCACTCACTCACTCAAAGTGAGGAAGGGTGCGTTATGTGATCCAGAGATCAATACCTTCATGTTAGTAGGTTTAAATTGTGAATACAGTAGAACACGGATATAACGAACTCCAAGGGACCAAGAAATTTAGTTAAGCTATATCCGGGTGTTCGTTATTCACATTTGACCGCCATCTTGGATTGTAGAGATGTAGAGACATCGTATATGCTGAGGCTACAAATCTTTATTCTTGTACATGTATATTGACATAACATTAAAATTCTGAATTTATCATTCACAGACATTAGCTAGAACATGTTTAACAATCACAACAATCTCAACAATATGTTGATTCAGCGCCAACAAGGTTGATGTATACCGCTAAGTGGCTGAGCTGACACTGAGTGAGTTAAAGCTAATCCGTCGTTAGTTGGGCTTGGGGGTAGTATATCAGTTAAGCTATAGCCGTTAATTAAGCTACTCACGAGTTAAGTTATTACGCGATAATTCTAATGATATCATAAAGGATTGTTGGCGGGACTTTTAAATTTGTTCGCTATATCCGTTTATGCGCTATATCCGTGTTAAGCTATATCCTGTGTTCTACTGTACCATTTTACAACTTTGTTAAATTTATTTCTACCTTAACTAGGGATGTCGCGATACATAATTTTCATGAATCGATACGTATCACGATACTCATGACATGATTCGATATGTATCATGATACCTATTTTCGCTGCATTATTATGTAAATCTAGTTACATTTTGAACATTAAATATTTTATATTTTATAATAGTCCTTGAAAAGATCAACATTTTTCTATTCTCAGAGATTAAAAGTTCTAATTTCCCATCTTTGTGCATGAAAATATAATCATTTATAACTCTCATAACATAAAAACATGATACAATTGCAAAATGTAAACGATACATATTAAAAGCGATATTTAAATCGATACTTTCAAAACTAAATATTGATACAGTTTTGAATGTATCAATGATTGTACCGTCTTAGAAAAAAGTATCGATGTATCATGGCATTCCTAACCTTAACAATGTTCTGGCCTACCTTTAAAATTCAGCACCACAAACTTGCAATACCCAATGAAGTAATGCCTCATGAATCTTTGCAAATTGTTTAAGCCTTCTCAATATTAGTACAGTTACCTTGAATGGTAGTGTGCCGATCGGTACCGAGTGCAGCAATACATGTTTTAGGTATTATCTTAATACATGATCTTTTACTATTTATAAATGTAACAAGAAATTCAAAATGGCCAATAAGAGATCTATTGATAGACATGGAATAGCCTTATATACAGATAGTCTGTTTTGATGACATATATGAAAAATTTAAAGAAAAACTGTATATACTCTCATAACAAGCAGTTCCAGACAAGTATTGTGGTTCTGATCATGGAAAACTTTACAGAAAATGTAGAAATTTTGAAAACTGGCAGAAGTTGCTCTTTTCACATATCAATAGGGTAATTTTCAACATTTTTTAAGCTTTTCTATTGACTTTTGCACTTGATTGATGTCCAAACATTTACAATTCAAAAATTAATCCCTGCAATAATCATGTCTTTTATAGAGATATCATTTTCACTTTTAGGTTACTCTCTACTCATATCTTACCAGTTTCATAGAGAGCTGATGCATGTCATGTTTCGTAGTGCACACAATTCAGACCATACCCATAAAGAGAAAATATTGGCTTTTCTCAATACAGAGTATACAAATTAACATATTGCCTACATTTTGTTGTTTTCTGTAGTCAATAATTCAATCTTCCATCGGATAATCAGGTGTATGAAAGTTCTGACACCATTCTGTTCGTATCACAGGGGTGGCTGTGGGTGGGGATGGGTGGGTTCTCAATTAAATTTGTTTTACATAATTGTATCAGGTGTTTAAATGGGTTGTTATCAAATGATTCATGTAATTGTTAATACATTTGCATTAATGTTTTGGTGTCCTTCATACACAGGAAATTCAGCAAATGAGAACTGAAGACACCTGTATTCCATGTCAGCAGATACATTTTCTTTGTTTATCTTTTCAGGATTCAGATGTAGTATCTGTGAGAAGGTACTAAAATGTAAAGGTGGATATACTGTTCATCAGCAAATGCACTGGAAGTCTAAAGGTACCAACAGTTTTGAGTAGTTTCTTTCTAGATATCAAGATAAGTGAACACCCATAACATATCATATCATGATACAAAGTCAAGAATGTGTTTAGCTTGACCGCTTTATAATATTACTGGCAGGTCATTAGTAAATCAATCAAGCTAAATTCCATTGTATGCAACTAGGATGTGTTGTCTAAAGGTCTGTGTTGATGATGAATAGGATGTATTGTGTTGACCATCGGCAACTTATCATATATATATGTATTAATATTCAGCAGACTCTTGGGCAAGATATGTATATCATTATCATCAGAATGTTGGGTAACACATCCTATCTGTTATAATCACAACCAATTGGGTAACACATCCTATCTGCTATAATCACAGCCCATTGGGCAACACATCCTATCTGTTATTTTTACATACCTTTGGGCAACACATCCTATCTGTTATTTTTACAGACCATTGGGCAACACATATATATTAACATCAGACCTTATCAGAAGACCTTTGAGTAACACATCATATCTGTTATCAGCAGACCTTTGGGCAACACATCTTATATATCACCAGTAGACCTTAGGGCAATACATCTTTTATATCACCGTTAGACCTTAGGGCAACACATCTTATATATTACCAGTAGACGTGTGGGCAACACATCATATATATTACCAGTAGACCTTAGGGCAACACATTATATATATTACCAGTAGACCTTAGGGCAACACATTATACATATTACCAGTAGACCTTAGGGCAACACATTATATATATTACCAGTAGACCTTAGGGCAACACATCTTATATATCACCAGAAGACCTTAGGGCAACACATCATATATATTACCTGTAGACCTTAGGGCAACACATCATATAAATTACCAATAGACCTTAGGGCAACACATCTTATATATCACCAGTAGACCTTAGGGCAACACATTATATATATTACCAGTAGACCTTAGGGCAACACATTATACATATTACCAGTAGACCTTAGGGCAACACATCTTATATATCACCAGTAGACCTTAGGGCAACACATCATATATATTACCTGTAGACCTTTGGGCACCACATCTTATATATTACCAGTAGAGCTTAGGGCAACACATCATATATATTACCTGTAGACCGTAGGGCAACACATCATATATATAACCAGTAGACCTTAGGGCAATACATCTTTTATATCACCAGTAGACCTTAGGGCAACACATCATATATATTACCTGTAGACCTTAGGGCAACACATCTTATATATTGCCAGTAGACCTTAGGGCAACACATCATATATATTACCAGTAGACCTTAGGACAACACATTATATATATTACCAGTAGACCTTAGGGCAACACATCTTATATATTACCAGTAGACCTGTGGGCAACACATTATATATATTACCAGTAGACCTTAGGGCAACACATCTTATATATCACCAGTAGACCTTAGGGCAACACATCATATATATTACCAGTAGACCTTAGGGCAACACATCATATATATTACCAGTAGACCTTAGGGCAACACATCTTATATATCACCAGTAGACCTGTGGGCAACACATCTTATATATCACCAGTAGACCTTAGGGCAACACATATTTTATATCACCAGTAGACCTTAGGGCAACACATCGTATATATTATCAGTAGACCTTAGGCAACACATTATATATATCACCAGTAGACCTGTGGTAAACACATCATATATATTACAAGTAGACCTTAGGGCAACACATCATACAGTCAGTAGACCTGTGGTCAACACATCTTATATATCACCAGTAGACCTTAGGGCAACACATCATATATATCACCAGTAGACCTTAGGGCAACACATCTTATATATCACCAGTAGACCTGTGGTCAACACATCATATATATCACCAGTAGACCTTAGGGCAACGCATCATACAATCAGTAGACCTGTGGTCAACACATCTTATATATCACCAGTAGACCTTGGGCAACACATCATATATATTACCAGTAGACCTGTGGGCAACACATCATATATATTACCAGTAGACCTTAGGGCAACACATCATATATATCACCAGTAGACCTTAGGTCAACACATCATATATATTACCAGTAGACCTTAGGGCAACACATCTTATGTATCATCAGTATACCTGAGGGCAACGCATCTTATATACCTCCAGTAGTCTTTAGGGCAACACATCTTATATATCACCAGTAGAGCTGTGGTCAACACTTCATATATATTACCAGTAGACCTTAGGGCAACACATCATACAATCAGTAGACCTGTGGGCAACACATCATATGTATTATCAGTACACCTTTGGGTTACACATCATATATAGTTTACCGGTATATACCAAACTCTCTCTAGTTCACTTGTCTACAGTTAAATATAATCAAACTTTGTATCCCTAAAGAGGCTATTTCACTAATCAGTTTGTAATCTAGTTCTATCATATGGATAAGTTGAGTTTGGTTGTCACACTGTGCACTGAGGTGTAGTACTGTGCACTGAGCTGTAGTATTAAATCATACATACTAAAGGGTTAAGATTTCTTCCTTGCAGTCTGTATTGACTGATGTCAGTTATGATTCAACACTTCAAATGATATGTGTCACCTAGATAGATAGAAATTACAAAAATGACAGATCATGTTTGTATTCTACAGTGTCAGTACATACTGTATGTTTTTCTAGATTTGTAGGTTTCATTGAGTAGTCAATGCCAAAATTGTTTACATTTCAAACCTCAAGCTAAACTTGTGTGTTCTAAATGTAATTTCTGTTTATCAAATACACAACAAAACTCTCAAATCTGAAAACATACCATGTCTTGTTTTCTAACTAGATAACTAACTTAGCCTTCAGCACTGTTAGAACTTGGCTGACATACTGCTGACATATGTCATCAACTGGTTCCAATTGCATCATGCATGACATCTGGAGAAAAATCACTGAGCCAATTGTTTGCAGAATTTTATGAAGTTTGGTTTAAAAGTTAGCGAATCAGATATGTTCTTTTTTTTATTACATATTTTCAGTTCGGACCATTGTTTTACAAAAACCTAATGCTGCCATTTTTGTCAATCAAAATGTCTCTTTTGTTCAATTACTTTCTTGTTGCTTTGACTATTTTATCATTGCTGCAATAATTTCTCTGAGTATACCAAAACATGTGCATGTTGCTGCATATTAATTACGTCAATGTTTTGTTTCATCATCAATTTCACTTGTTCGATAAACACTACTCAATAAAGTTAACCAGTATCTATCTGGACATCCTCCTACCTTTCCCTTTCTCAGTGGTATTCAGTCTGTATCTACTTAATGAAGCGCTTACTACTAGTAGGGTTGACGGGCGGTGGGGTAGCCTAGTGGTTTAAGCGTTCGCTTGTCATAGCTAAAAGTGGGATAAAACTAATCTCACTCACTACTAGTGTTGACCCTCATTTCTCTCATAGACAGTGGCAGTCACTCCCATTCAATTTTCAGCCATGTTACGAGATTAAAGTTTCCTGAATACTCAAGGCTCCATCTTTATAGAACTATTTCTATTCTACGTTATAGCAAACTTAATTTAAGGACTATATGTTGTTATATTGTATATTGCAGTGATTAGAAACTAACATATACTACTCACACTTTGCTAAGGTTCACAAAAAATCCCAACTTTACTTACACATAGATTTATAATTTGAAATTGCATACATTTAAAACTGGATAAATAATAATATAGTAACCCTTCTTTAGGCAAACAGCTACTTTAATCTAACCTTATGCACTTGATACATGAGTAACCATAAAAATGGTTTAATGGCACCAATCAACCATTTTGCAAATCATGGAACGAGTCATTTACAAATACACAACACCTGTCAATAGCAGGTATGGGATCCACAAGATGCAATGACATACTGAAACCTAGGATCCATACTTACAATAAGCTTAGATATTTAAACCAAATTAGACCCGACATCATAGTTTTCTGTTGAATCAATGATTTAATCCATAGCAAAGTGTGAATAGTATATTTAGGCCACAAGTCCTCATAATAATAACAAATTAGCTAAATCTTAAAATGGCAAATGTTTACTTGTCCTAATAAAACCTTAAGTTGGGGAGTTGGGTAAAGACTATAGGACTAAAAGCTGAGTGATGATACTCACTGTACCTTGATGTTTTAACATAATTTTGAAAACTTTGTTATATTTCAGAAACGGAGACCATTCAGGCATTTCTACAGATTTCCAAGCATGAATGCTCTTATGTTCAGCTGAGAACAAAAATGATGAACAAGCAGAAAATACAGCAGCAAAGGACAAGGAAGAGATGGCACACATTTTAAGAATAAGATTAACTTAAAAAATATTCAGATCATTTCTAAGGGATGTTACATTTGGGAATTCACTTTCCCAGTATACCCGACACTAGTACTTTGCTGGTAGAGGGTGGAGTGAATCCATTGTGTGATTTGAACCCACCCTCTCAGAGTGAAACACCTTATCACAGAAGAACATAGTCAGCAATTTAACCTGACAAATGTTAGTCAAGGTCTGGTTCAGAGAAGTGTAAATGCCACAATTACAATTTTTTGCAAAGTTATGCAAATAAGAATGTCAAAGCTCTTTGGTTTAATAAATAGTAATTATTAAACTTACAATTTTTTCTTGTTCCTATCATTGGTTCGCACTGGGATGGAATGTGGCTCCATTTTCCATGGTGGAGTCTCCGAAGCTGATTTGGAAAAAATAGGGGGGTGGGGTGGTAGCACTTGCGGATCTAGCGCGGTGATGGGCTGTGTTTAGATGGTATTCAGACCAGACATCAGGCAAATATCAGTGTAAGAGCCCAAGTTTCTTCAGGAGTCGTCCCGTATGGCTCAGCAAACCGAAACAAGAGTCTCATTAAGCTATTCAGACATGACCTACTTTTCAGCCGATCCGACTTTTTTCGTGTGAAAGTGAAAATAGACATCACAAACAACTATGGTTACACTGAATTCTAATTCCTTGTTTCATAAGGAAATAGTATTTACAAATGAATTTTAATTTAAAACTTTAATAACATCGTATTTCTATATTTTATGGCAAAGTGTAGGCAGCATGACCTTAACTAAGACGTCACAGACTGCCCCTGTTTGATGAGGTCGTAAAATAATTCACAATGCATCTGACTCACTGGTTACTCCTGTTATGTGTTTTTTGCGCTTACTCGGTGTAGTTCTATAACACACAATGTGATTAATATAATATCAATTCCGTACCAGACCGCCAAACATTTCTAACGGCAAAGCCTCGTTTTGAGATTTCCACAATTTCCAAGTTTCCGTTTGTCAGAGCTCGCTGTACGACAGAGCACGCTGCCATACGTGTTTGCAAGGATTAGAAGAAGCGTAGTGTTGCAATATACAAGTGATTAGATGTATCAAATAATACTGATTAATATTTATGTATCCAGTTAAATGAATTGGTCGCAAAATTCTGGACTGGTTATTGTACTAAGTTGCGCAATAGGACGGAACCCAGTCAACAGGAAACGAGACTGTTGTATAATCAATGTTTTGACTTGTGTATGATAAGAAAACGAGAATAGTCCCGACTGGCTCAAAATGGGCTGTGGTTAGGTGGTATTCAGACCAGAAATCAGGCAAATATCAGTGTCGGAGCCCCAGTTTATTCAGGAGTCGTCTGGTATGCCTCAGTGTATGAAAAGAGAACGAGAATAGTCCCGACTGGCTCAAAATGGGCTGTATTTAGATGGTATTCAGACCAGACATCAGGCACATATCCGTGTCGGAGCCCCAGTTTATTCAGGAGTCGTCTGGTATGCCTCAGTGTATGATAAGAATACGGGAATAGTCCTGAATGGCTCAATATGGGCTGTGGTTAGGTGGTATTCAGACCAGACATCAGGCAAATATCCGTGTCGGAGCCCCAGTTTATTCAGGAGTTGTCTGGTATGCCTCAGTGTAGGATAAGAAAACGGGAATAGTCTCGACTGGCTCAAAATGGGCTGTGGTTTGGTGGTATTCAGACTAGACATCAGGCACATACCCGTGTCGGAGCCCCAGTTTATGCAGGAGTCGTCTGGTATGCCTCAGTGTATGATAAGAATACGGGAATAGTCCTGAATGGCTCAAAATGGGCTGTGGTTAGGTGGTATTCAGACCAGACATCAGGCAAATATCAGTGTCGGAGACCCAGTTTATTCAGGAGTCGTCTAGAATGCCACCTTGTATGATAGGAGAACCGGAATACTCCCGACTGGCTCACAATGGGCTGTGTTTAAATGGTATTCAGACCAGAAATTAGGCAAATATCCGTGTCGGAGCCCCAGTTTATTCAGGAGTTGTCTGGTATGCCTCAGTGTATGGTAAGAGAACGAGAATAACACCGACCGGCTCAAAATGGGCTGTGGTTAGGTGGTATTTAGACCAGAAATCAGGCAAATATCAGTGTCGGAGCCCCAGTTTATTCAGGAGTTGTCTGGTATGCCTCAGTGTATGGTAAGAGAACGAGAATAACACCGACCGGCTCAAAATGGGCTGTGGCTAGGTGGTATTTAGACCAGAAATCAGGCAAATATCAGTGTCGGAGCCCCAGTTTATTCAGGAGTTGTCTGGTATGCCTCAGTGTATGATAAGAGAACGAGAATAGTCCCGACTGACTCAAAATGGGCTGTGTTTAAATGGTATTCAGACCAGACATTTGGCAAATATCCGTGTCGGAGCCCCAGTTTATTCAGGAGTTGTCTGGTATGCCTCAGTGTATGATAAGAATACGAGAATAGTCCCGACTGGCTCAAAATGGGCTGTGTTTAAATGGTATTTAGACCAGAAATTAGGCAAATATCCGTGTCGGAGCCCCCAGTTTATTCAGGAGTCGTCTGGTATGCCTCAGTGTATGATAGGAGAACCGGAATAGTACCGACCGGCTCATAATAGGGCTGTGTTTAAATGGTATTTAGACCAGAAATTAGGCAAATATCCGTGTCGGAGCCCCCAGTTTATTCAGGAGTTGTCTGGTATGCCTCAGTGTATGATAAGAATACGAGAATAGTCCCGACTGGCTCAAAATGGGCTGTGTTTAAATGGTATTTAGACGAGAAATTAGGCAAATATCCGTGTCGGAGCCCCCAGTTTATTCAGGAGTCGTCTGGTATGCCTCAGTGTATGATAGGAGAACCGGAATAGTACCGACTGGCTCAAAATGGGCTGTGGTTAGATGGTATTCAGACTCCATCAACCTTCGCTCATCATTTCATTACGATCAGTCATTAGAAATAGTGTCAACAAATCCATATTTGATGACGAAAGTTAATGATGTTGTTGCTTTATCTCGTTAAAAAACGTTTTTCATATCTGGACTTTGCAATCCAGTTTATTAATTTTACTCAAAAGGTAAAAAAAGAATGTTTATATCAACTGTAGTTATATCCTGTGTCTCCCCGAAATTTTAACTTCGGTCCGCATTAGTCACAACAATCACTATCATTTTACATCTACTCACGCTTCGAATTGAAGTGTATTTGGCAGGAAATGGATACGTATACATATTTGTTTTCGCTAAAAGTAATATTTCTTGCAGTTGGACTATCACATGTCAACGGAGTGTTTTCGCGGTGGAAGAAGCGAGATCGCGCGAAACCTCATCGGTGACAGGTCAAATTGTTCCTTGCATAAAGCCTATCCAGCAAAACACCATAGTACGTGCTCTCGCATAACCTCAGTTATGATTATAGATGTTTTACATTTATAAGGCAAAGCCTACAATTTAAACGAAACAATATATTTCTTATGGAAACACAATAATTTCAGATACTAGATTTTTTTTCGATCACTCCATTAGAATTCATCGCGTGGTAATATTAGATAAATTTTAACTAAATCACCGGTAGATCACGGGGAAAAGTGTGCACAGCTAATTGCCATTTCCGACGGTGTATACGAGGCAAATTCACACGCTAATCCTAATCCCTACAGATAATACAATGCCTAGCAAAAACAAATTAGAGCTAAAGATAACTAAAATTGTCTAATAATGTTTAATTGAAAATTTGACGTCTTTACTCACAAAATCGTCTTCGTTCACGGGAAGCGATACGATGTCGTTTTCTTACCCGCAGAAAGAAAGATTACATATCTGTCTTCATAAGGGTGTTGATTTCCTATAGAGGTTTTCAGTGTTTGAGTATGGGAATATTTGATATTTAGTTGTTTGTTAATCTTAACATATCCTTAAAACTTAATCCTTAGCAAACCATGAATGGTAAACAACGGACACTAATATAAAGCAAGGGCACATCGGCGCTTGAGTGGGAAACAATTGCAAGTTATGCCAAATGATAAATGTCTGTTACAGCATAATATTTTTAGAAATATTACAAGTAATCATAATCTCAGTGTTAATTCTAACTAGCCTGGTTTGTTTGACTGCATCATATTTGAGAAAATTAAGCACAAAACTATGAATGGATTGTTTGTGCGATGTTAAAAATCGGAAACAAGAAAGTCAGTTTCATGCACACAGATATGAAATATAATTTCCTCGGCGCGCAAGACATTGAAACACATAAACAACCAAAGGGCGACATATATCAAATAAGCAGCCATGGAAATGTATACACGTATATAGCAACCATTGGGCGACATATATATATGTATAATACATAAGCGACCATTGGGCGACATATATATACGACCTTTGGGCGACAGTCGCCTAAAGGTCGCATATATACATGTACGCCGTACACTTTACCTTTGGGCGACACGGTATGGGTGACACCAAAAATATATTCTCTATTTGTATATATGTACAAGGTTTTATCCCATTTTAATGTTTAATTATCAAATTAAAGTATATATAACCGAAGCAGAATAATAAATCAATGTATGTTTGTAATATACGGCAATGTCGCCTAAGGGTCGCAGTTTATAGTACTGTCGCTCAAAGGTCGGATTTGCCCTTATATATATATATATATATATATATATATAATATATATAATCCATAAGTTGGCTGACAACAATTGGAGTGTATTTGGAGATGTGGTTTCAGTACTGTCATCATTAGGCTTTGAGGTTGTGACGGGACAAGGCGCGTGATTGAATTACTCTCAGAAGCGAGCGTTTATTGGGTAGCCCAGTGGTTAAAGCGTTCGCTCGTCACGCCGAAGACCCGGGTTCGAATCCTCACATGGGTACAATGTGTGAAGCCCATTTCCGCTGTCCCCCGCCGTCATATTGCTGGAGTATTACTAAAAGCGGCGTAAAACTACACTCACTTACTCACTCTCAGACGTAATGGCTTGGGAATCAATTTCAGTTATTTTGAGTAGATGATCTGCAGGCGTGGGAATATGAAATTGCAATAATTATTGTAATGTTTGTTTCGTGCGTTTTAGTGCGGTATAATTGCCGCTAGGTTTTATGTTGTGGAAAATGTAATATTTCAACTTTCACTAAAGGCTACCGGTTTGTAAAAAACAAATAATAAGTCACCTGTATATATTGTATTGTCTATAAAGCATGGGCAAAATCACTACAAGAACACGATATAGCAGATACACCAACACAATTTATATGGGCAAATGACAAATAACTATTGCTAAAAAACCTATAATATATAGACACTATGTAAAAGCAAATGTTTAATTTATCAATTATTTACTCAAGAGTGACGTTTTTAAAGTTTGATAAATTTACAACTGAATACAACGTAAAGACAAACTTTCAGAACATGCAGGACTTATCAATACAATTACTGCAGGACTTATCAATACAATTACTGCAGGACTTATCAATACAATTACTGCAGGACTTATCAATACAATTACTGCAGGACTTATCAATACAATTACATCGTTCATCCATCGCAAGAAAATAAAACTAAACAAAGAAGAACAACCATTTCTTCCATATAATTTAAACATCTTGTATAAGGGAAAAAGGGAAAAATATTCTATACTACACTATCTAAATTATATATGTCGCAAGGAACATTACGTAACCAAATACAATTAGAACGAGACATAAACGAAATTATACCAGAAGACCAGTGGAAAATATACAACCACATACCTTTAGAGCAACACTTAATACACTTCGATGGTTACAATTAAAAATTATTAAGAGAATTCTGACAACAAATAAAGATCTATTGAACTATAATATTATAATCACATTCATTGTATTCTTTCTGTGATAAGGAATCAGAAAACATTATTCATAAATATTATGTTATATGAGTCCAAACATATCAAAACGTTGCGGAAGCAATTTTAACAAATTGAATAGACATTGTAACTGGCACACATCGAGAACTGAATGTAAAGCACATTTTTTGGGGATATAAAGAAAGAAGAAATGACGTCTTGAATCTAATTGTAATGTCCAGAAAACAATCTGTACAAACAGATGTTCTATCTTCTATGTTCTAAAGCGCCATCAACATGGCGATAAATGTGATAAATTATTCTTCAATCCTTGGATGCCATGTGAAAACCCCTTCACGTTAAGGAAATCACTTATTGGTTTTTTGTTTCATTCGATGTTCGCTCAATGTACAAATGAAAATATTAAATTATGTATTATATACAATATTATATTATATGTACATGTATCTCAAATTATTCACATGGTTGCGTCTATAATCATGTAATACCCTGTACCTTTCAAAAAGAAATAAAGTGATAAAGAATTGTTTTTATTTAGATAACACACAGTGCGGCAAAAAATATATACGCATCAAAAGCATACACTCACAACTATGAAGAAACTGTATGGTGATGCTATTGTGTTTAAATGCAGGTGGATAGATGGTTTAGATAAATATTAAAATGGACAAGGTGATATGTGCTGGAATATACTGACCAAATAACGCAACGTGAGAATACTGACTGACTGACTGAGTTTGGTTTAACGCCGCTTTTAGCAATATTCCAGCAACATCACGACGGGGGACACCAGAAATGGAGTTCACTTATTGTACCCATGTGGGGATTCGAACCCAGGTCTTCGGCGTGACGAGCCAACGCTTTAACCATTAGGCTACCCCACCGCCCCGCAACGTGAGAATAGATAATATATATGTAAATAAGTAAAATACAAGATTAAAATTCGATTTATATACTTTGGGAAGAGCCTGTGTAAGTCTAGGTCTCGGGTTCCATCAGATCAAGGACGGCGTCGACGCAACACAGCTGTTTCTGAAGGGGATATAAACAATAACACTGCTGTGTGTGTCTGTTGACTGCCTCATTGGAGACGCACACTTGCCGTTCATCAGCCTTTCCTTTGTGCCCACCAGCGCTTGCGATATACGTAACCGAGCAGTGCACCGTGCAAGTCACTTCTCCCTTAAAATATTGATGTCTCAATGTATAACATTTCTACGAGATTTCTAGAAAGGAAAGTTGGCTCAGTTATATAGCTTCTAGACTGCTGAATCGGCATAAAATAAAATGACAACTGACTTTCCCCAATGTGTATTTGGTGAGAGTATGGAATCCTAGAAGGGACATCGTCGCATTGTCGACAAATAGTGTCAAAATTAACCAAAGCGCGAAAATGCGACAACACGACATTTTGGTCATTTGTTGCATTGTCCCTGTGTCAATATCTCCACGGGGGCGGTGGGGTAGCCTAGTGGTTAAAGCGTTCGCTCGTCACGCCGAAGACCTGGGTTCGATTCCCCACGTGGGCACAATGTGTGAAGCCCATTTCTGGTGTCACTCACTCATTACCGCCTTTTCAACAATATCCTATATTTCTACAAAAAGGGCACAACGCGACAGTTGTCAAGGTCAAAATGTCGCAATGTGTCCCCATCTAAAATGTGTCCATAAAGCGTGCCAAGACCAACTGTTGAACAGACCAGACTGATCAGATCCGGGCACAATTTAATTGGGTCACGTATCACGTCACTTCCGTCCGCGTGCCTCGCGGATCTACGCTTATCACAGCGAGCAACCTTTTACTGTTGAAGAATGATGTAAACATATCTGTTTCTCGTTCACATGGAATTTGCCTTGCCGACAGGCAGCATTAGTTATGCTAATACCGCTCATCGGAAAACCATTGACAGTAGTAGGTATAAATAGGAGTCAAGCTGCCAAACACGGTCACCCACGGTGATCTGAGCTCAATGCACAGCACCGCGTGCCATCACAGTACAGTTGTTTTGCTCAGTTATCAAACACTGTACAAGCTACATTCCTCTTACAAACATAAATTATTGTTAATCCACTGGCCGCTTTAGTTAGCCGTATGTATCGGCGTAAGCTATCATCCCTGTAAAGTTTCTTTCTTTTTCCTTAGGTCTTTCATATGTGTGATACTCCTTAATGTTTTAATCTTATATTTTATACATTTTATGCACATATTGTCTAGTGTGTCTCATTGGCCATCTGGCCTGGTGTCTGTATTTTTCTATGTCTTTTTTACCGTTGCCATTTTTGACGTGTACATTCACGTGACACATAAATAAACTATTTTGTCTGTCTGTCTGTCTGTCTGTCTGTCAAATAATCCCGTTTCGTAGAGTTGTGTTGACAAGTTGTAAAATAAGAATGAACGCGTACTATTGCTAAGAATAACACGTGACCATAATGATCGACGAGGTTTGTATCTTGTCATCCGTTCGTTTGTATATGGCCATCTGTGCGGCGTGGAGCGATAACAACGTACTACTGCACATGTCATAATGTATAACACAGGGTCGCATGCGACGTTTGCATTTTATAAATACATTGTTGGATGTTTCTCCACAGGAATATACATTTACATTTATCTTGAACACTGACCGAATTGTTCTAACTTATGAAGCTGTGGTATCAAGTAAATATATCTGAACAATGATTATTAATTATAATTCTTCCTTGAATATCACACCCATGATTATTAATCGAAAACATCCGCACCGTCTGGATGAGGCTTTTGTTAGACTTTTATTTCATTCGAATATTGTATGGTATTGTACCATCCCAGGTAAAGCCCATTAACAGCAGGTTCCTTGTACTTGTATGGGAGTGGTCTTTATCTGAATTCTCATAACCTCAAACGTGACACTGGATCATGTGACTCAATCGTGTCATCGTGACCTTAACAGCCATAGCCAGATAACACGTGGGAGTGACCTACTCCCTTGGAATGCACAGTGGCACGTTATCAGGAAAAATGATATTCCCTTCATCACTCCTGTTATATATGTAAGTATGACGTTGTATTCGTGATCTTGATCAATATAAGGTCACCGTGACCTTAACAGCCATCACAAACAGGTACATCGCAATCAAAGAACAGGTACAGTCTAGCTAGTTATTCTTGTCGGTGTTGAGACACACAGTTTATTTAACATGGGATAACACCTTAACCCAGTGATGCCGTTATACATGTGCCTCTGCACGTCAAACAGGAAATGGGTAGTTGTTATGCCTAGATGGTAATGTTAATGTAAATACTTCAATACCGACTGATTGCATACTCCCCAGGGAAGTTGGGAATGTTATTGGGCTGTCAGAAATGACACTCTTTTTATCATTCTTATAATAAGTCTGGAGGTTTTTTTACATGTTTGTTTCCAAAACAGCATCGCCCACTGTGTGTATACAACTAACTATACCTTTTTAATCTTTGCTCAAAGTAGCGTCCATCCTACAATGCTGACTAAACTCAGAGGCCCAGATAAGCTGCGTATCCGGGTAAAATACGCATATAAAATTTTCAATTACGCATTGAAAAATATTTGTTGCGTACCAATTACGCATTTAAAATGTTAGATACGCAAAAAGTTAAAAACAAATGCGTACGGAATATATTTATAGAAATCGCTTGCGTAATGAAAAAGACATCGACTGCTATCAAGTTGTACTCTCAGTATAGGATGAGTGATTTTTTTATGAAATCATTTCCATTAAGTTGGTTTTGATTAGGTATGACATAAGGCAGAACATACCTGCTTAGTAAACTTACTCAGTCACATAATACTTAGGTGAGTAAAATGACTGAAATACGCACATATTTGAAAGCAGTGGGTAACGGAAAATGAAATACCCACTCAACATTCATAATACCCACTCCAAAAAAAAATACAGCGGGTACAGTACCCACATTAGCTAAATCTTATCTGGAGCTCTGCATAAGCCACAAGTATTAAACCTTTAATTGTGAATAAGGCTGAACCACAATCCCAAGTGTACATTCACGATCTGGCGGACAAGTCGTATGGACTTGTGGAAGTCGCGGTGGCTGAGTGCCATTTTAACAACATGGTAAAGGAATATTGAAAAATATTGAAAAATAGACAATATGATCCCCATGTGCGCTCCGTGAAGCTGTGGAAGAAAGCGTTATTTAACTTTCTTCTCACAGCATCAGGTAAGAAAGAAATTGTTCCATAAAAATCATAATCATCACTCGTTGGTATTATATAGTAGTGTTTACGTATCATCAGTAAGTTATAGTGATAGATCTCTGTTTATATTGCTAATGCTCTCAAAGAGTACTTGCTGGTGGCACAAATTTTAAGAATTATAGTAACTGAATATAATTATATTGGTACCCCCTCCAGTATATTTTCATTGCAGTGATTCATCAAGATTGAGCTTTTCTGGTGATTATTCCATATAATTCTTCAATGTTTCTTATGTTTACATTTTAGTTAATGCCTATCAGATGTTCTTGAACACCCATGGTAGGACGACCCCCTGTCTGGGCTTCCACATGTCTCTTCTTCGCGCGCTCGTCGGGAACACTCAGGTGACTAGGAGGACTGGAGGACCGAAGACCAAGCCTCCTTCCCGACGACTGACCGAACACCTCTGTTTAGAGCGATAGAGGACCACAGATGGCTGCGCAGAGAAGATCAGGACTTGAGGTCCTGACGGCTATAGCCCGTGAAAGCCACATTTAACAAAAACAGAGTTGAAATGGTGTATGGTTGAGTGGTCGTGTGAATGTGGCTCTCCCGGCAATGGGCATGGTTGAGTGATCGTGTGAATGTGGCTCTCCCGGCAATGGTCATGGTTGAGTGATCGTGTGAATGTGGCTCTCCCGGCAATGGTCATGGTTGAGTGGTCGTGTGAATGTGGCTCTCCCGGCAATGGGCATGGTTGAGTGGTCGTGTGAATGTGGTTCTCCTGGCAATGGGCATGGTTGAGTGGTCGTGTGAATGTGGCTCTCCCGGCAATGGGCATGGTTGAGTGATCGTGTTAATGTGGCTCTCCCGGCAATGCGCAATGCGCTATTAGCTAAACCATGTTACCGTAAATAATGTGAAATATTCAGTATGTAAAATCTAGAAATCCAGTTGAATTGTTCGTGGAGAAAAGTCCAGATCACGGAAACAAGCTGCCTCACATAGGCATTCAAACACCTTTTACGAAATATTCATGATTATACAACTAATTATTTCTTTGAAGCATTTTAGCTTATGGGAGGGTCAATTCAATGTTGTATCCTTTTGTGATAACTGTTTGAGATAAGAACTATTGTTGACTCAGTTATTATGTTTACATTCATGCTAAAAAATATTTTAAAAAACAATTTAGAAGAATGACCATTTATTGCAAATTGTACTTATAAACATTAAACAGACACATATGTGAGGTCTAACTCTTTCCATTTCATAGTTGTTTTCAGCAACATTTATGACTAGATTTTGCAAAATCAGTATTTTTGCATTATATGTTAACTAAATAAACAAAGGACAAGTCACTAAAACAATTTTAATCCAGTGTGATCAATGGGTGACGCTTATTTGAAAAAAAAAACGGTGTTGATTACCTTACTCATTGTGGCTTTCGAGGCGATTCGCCGTACCGAGGTTTGTACTTGAATTGTGGCTTTTGCGGCATTGGTATTTTTCAAACGTGGCTTTCCCGGGCGGACACCGTCCTGACAGCCTTGTGGGCCTCTGTGGCCGACTTTCCCGGGCGGACACCGTCCTGACAGCCTTGTGGGCCTTTGTGCCCGCTTTTCCGGGCGGACACCGTCCTGACAGTCTTGTGGACCTCTGTGCCCGACTTTCCCTGGCGGACACCGTCCTGACAGCCTTGTGGGCCTTTGTGCCCGCTTTCCCGGGCGGACACCGTCCTGACAGCCTTGTGGGCCTCTGTGCCCAACTTTCCCGGGCGGACACCGTCCTGACAGCCTCGTGGGCTTCTGTGCCCGCCTTCCCTGGCGGACACCGTCCTGACAGCCTTGTGGGCCTTTGTGCCCGCTTTTCCGGGCGGACACCGTCCTGACAGTCTTGTGGGCCTTTGTGCCCCTTCCGGGCGGACACCGGACCGTCCTGACAGTCTTGTGGGCCTCTGTGCCCAACTTTCCGGGCGGACACCGTCCTGACAGCCTTAATGGGCCTCTGTGCCCGCTTTCCCGGGCGGACACCGTCCTGACAGCCTCGTGGGCTTCTGTGCCCGCCTTCCCTGGCGGACACCGTCCTGACAGCCTTGTGGGCCTTTGTGCCCGCTTTTCCGGGCGGACACCGTCCTGACAGCCTTGTGGGCCTCTGTGCCCGCTTTCCCGGGCAGACACCGTCCTGACAGCCTTGTGAGCCTCCGTGCCCGCTTTCCCGGGCAGACACCGTCCTGACAGCCTTGTGGGCCTCTGTGCCCGCTTTCCCGGGCAGACACCGTCCTGACAGCAGAGGCAAGGAGCCCTAATGAGAGATTTCTGTTCACTGTCTCATATACTAGTATCTGATAAGAACTACAGTAACAAGTTGTGAGAACTGTACTTTTGAACGAAACAGAAAACGCGTGTCACAACTGTTAATAGACGCATTTTAATATCAACCATTATTGGAAAATAATTATTGTAACAGATAATTTGTGACACTATGTGCAACCTAAGTCTTTTTTAAAGAACATATTTTGAAAATTGTACCTCATTTTGTTAACTTCTTAAATATACCGGACATTAAATACACTAGAAAGTTCTATTTACATTTGGATAGCAACTTCATGCAAAGTCTCAACTTGCCCTCAACGGGATAAGAGTCCAGAGGACCCTTAATTACTAATTATAAGGGTCTTTACTTGAAACATTCGGGTCTTGTTCAGTAATGACATGTTGTCAAATGCTAAATTGTAACAATTAAATAAAGTAAAAACAAGTCAATGATATCAGTTTATTACCCATATGGGAAGAAGGACACAGGGTAGTATTTTTCCTGTAAGTCCCAAGGGAGGTTACACCTCTTGGTGAACGTTGATTGGCTGTTTCAGAAAAAAACAGCCTATCACACTCGGTGGGATTCCCCACATCGCGGGTTTCCTTATAGAAAAATTGCTGTTTCATTTTAGCGTTGTTTAGATCGAAATCTGATATGGGTAATAAAAACAATAACCAACTCATGACGGGAATGACAGATCACCCTTCCCTCGTTTTATTAATTACGTAATTCTCTCGACAAGGTTCAAGGGCAGCCCCCCCGAGATAATTTTACAGATTATGTTTCCTTATTAAATTATTGATGTAACACTCTTCTAACCTGGATAGTGCCCCAGGCGGTTCAGGGCTCCATTTCGACTACATTTTCACCATTCCCAGAATAATAATCACATATAAATCCAACTGACTGCATAAATGTTAGGTAATATATACATTTGCATTGGGATTCTTACCGCATGATAGCAACACAAAGTGACGAGCATTGAACTTTAGGAAACATGACCGGGCCATAACGTCTAGAATGTTTGAGCCCAATTGAGGTCAGTGTATCGTCTACAAATTAAGACACTGTGGCAGATTCCATGGCCATGCGTTAATCAGCCAAATCCGCCACATTTAGCCGACGATTACGACATAAGATTCTGGTACATACCTTCTCGGTTGCTGTCGAACAGAACGAGTCAGTTCTCTCAATGTCGCACAGGCTCCCATGTTCCGTACACGTTGATTTGTCCACAATAGCTTATTTTGTTTTCGTGGCATCGCCGGATCTTTGTCCCTGGAAATGTGGTAATTCCCTGCTCTATTTTTAGCTATCGTGTATTTCCCTTGCGTGATATGATTGGTTATCGCTTTGTGCGTAATAGCGACTCCCTCCCTTTCTTGCCGGGTTGAGGTCAGGGTCACAATCCGAGAACCTCCGTACGTGGCAGATCAAAGCGGGAAATTTGAAATACAGTAACGGTACGGAAACCCGAAATAATGTATTTGAGCTGACCAAAATTAGGTATTAGCTCATATTGTCCACGTTGTCATTTATCCGTCTTCAGGTCATTAACTGTTATCACTCCTCTACGGACGCGGCGGGGTAGCCTAGTGGTTAAAGCGTTCGCACGTCACGTTGAAGACCGGGATTCGATTCCCCATGTTTGTACAATGGTGTGAAGCCCATTGATATTCCTGGAATATTGCTAAAAGAGGCGTAAACCCAAACTAACTCACTCCTCTACTAACATTAATTAAAGTGAAATGCACATACAGTAACTGTACAAAATCTATGAAGAATCCAAGAACGTTATAACAACAAATACATAAATGCAGGGGGTGCACATCACATCGATCATGTCCAAATGGAAAATTTGTGTTCAGGGGAGAAGTGTGTGTGGGTTGTTTTGGTTGTTTTGTTTTGGTTTTTTAGCAGTGACCGTAAAAAAATCTAGCTTTGAGTTTAGCTTTTATTTTGAGTTGCTTCGTTTTGATGTTTTCGTTTTGTTTATTACATATGTGGAGTTTGAACATTATGATTAACACTGTTGCTATCTGACGTATTTTTAGACGATTGTATGCAGTTTTCGCAACGTCTCTCGGCACAGCGACAACACACAGGTTATTTCTATGGGTGTAGACATGACGCACACGTCGATGTTATAGCCGTGGAATAGTTAGCGCACTTGAGTCTGTGACTCTTGGACACAACACTTTCAGTTATCTGCTAGTTAACCCCCGGATGCCACATGTGCCTTTCCTCTCCAACACTCACTTTGAAGTCGAATAACATTCACAATATAGAACGGTTCTTTGTTAGTTTCACCCACTGCTTCATACGATACATGCATACGATACAACAAAACAGGAGTTAGGGCTGAAGAGGTACTACAGATAGGTACCCAAGGCACGTTTCTGAATATAGAAATGTACCCCCAGACAAAGTAAAAATACAGACACGTACCCGGCATCCTAAAGAGCGTACTAGTCGATATTCCGCAATCCAAAACCGAAACCGTATGTTGTTGTTCCCGTTCAACTGATGACGAGTGGTATTAGGCACCGCGAAATATTCATTACTGTGCATGCTCGTTTCTTATATGCGCACTCAAATGTTTCTAATACAACAGTATGACAGTTCCGATCAAGAACACGACACGGTGCGGAATGGAATCGTCATAGTGTACGTTTCTGTATTCTAATTTTTTACTAGGGTATGTTTCTGTATACAGAAACGTACCTGGGGTACACAACTGTTGTATTCAAGTTCAAGATCTGCACTCTTGTTTTCCGCTGCAGACACGGCCTAGCTCCTCCATATCTCTCTGAAATGTTGTCAACATGTATGCCTGCCCGTTCTCTCCGCTCCCGAAATCACGATCTTCTCACAATTCCCCAAGTTCATCTCAATCACTTTGACCATAGATCTTTAAAATTTGCAGAACCACCTCTGTGGAACAGAGTTCCTTCTCACATCAAACATGCTTCATCCTCAGAAGCATTCAAATCGGGATCTCAAAACCTTCGTCTTAACAAAATTCGACAATCTATAACTGCCAAATATTCTGACAGTCCTTTTGACGAACTGTCATATCTTCCTCATGAACTCTAGTGAATCTTTTATATACTCATGCCAATAATGGTTGTCACCCCCTTCAATTGTTTTAATTGGAGAGGGGTTGGGGGTGTGAGGTGTGTTTGGGGTTGGGATGGGGAGGGGGGTGACAACCATTATTGGCATGAGTATATGTAGAGCTTTGAGCATGCTCCGGGTGGACTATGGGCACACAAGAAATATCCATTTGGTAGTAGTAGTAGTAGTAGTAGTAGTAGTAGTAGTAGTAGTAGTAGTAGTAACGTGCCGATTCCGACGGTCATCTCGTAATTCATTATTGCAATGCATGGATGGTCATCCATGATCTAAGAATCACAGAAGAAATACTGCAGGACATAACACAATATCATCATATCAGGAAAAAGGTGTACTGTCCATGCACCAACGCGCACGTTTTCGATGAAATTGAAGGCTATACTGGTGAATTGTCTCGTGTAATAGTAAGATGTACAGCTCGCGTCGCGCATACGACATGCGCTGTCTGTTTTAGGTTGGGCCTAGCGCACCTAAAGGGTTAGTGAAGGGAAGATAATTATAAAAAGATCGCCCATAACAGTAAACAAAATCACCCTATATATACTGCCGATTACACTTTCAGTATTTTGTGCATCGGTAAGATATTTTTTTCATGAAACCCAATTCAGTATCAACATTCAGCCTTCTTCAGTATCATATCATACATGAGTGTTGGCTGGACGGGTTTGTTTCAATTTTGTGTTTGTTTGAATGCATAAAGAGTGACACATTTAGTGTAGTAAGTATATTTCAAACCTTTACACAAGTGTTCGAAAATGAGGTGAGGTGAGGTGAAATTGGGTTTAACGTCGTGCTTGAGAATATTTCGCTCATATGACGATGTGCATGCGTGTGTATGTGTATGTGCGGCTGCTTGTACTAGCCCAGACTTAAGCTGGTTTTATAGTGCTAGCCCACTGAGATACCACGCCGCAGTGAAGCATGAATACCCCACTCAGACACATTATACTGACTCCGAGCCGACCAGTCCTTGTTGTACCCATTAATGCCGAGCGCCAGGCAGGGACCAACAAATACCATATTTTAACGTCTTTGGTATGACGCGGTCGGGAATCGAACCTGCGACCTTCCGCTCTCCGGGCGGACGCTCTAACCATTACACCACGGAGGCGGTTGTTCAAAAATGAAACAAAGGCATAACTGCAACATGTACTTTAGTGTGCAATATTCAATAATGAGGCCAATAATGCAGTTTCATATGAACAGGTAAATGGACAGCGATTTGGTTTAATCTTAAAAATAATACTGACAATTTTATAAAAAATATTGATTTATTTTATGATATTGGCTTGTTCATTGAATTTGTTTATGTTGTTTTATAGACAAAACAATGATGCATACTGATTGGCCAGTATCTAAATGGAAAAATCAGTCATTTTATGTTTCTTGAAATTCTGGCAGAGAAACCGAGATATTTTATACAATTAATGGACATGAGGTGAGATATATAGTTATCAACATGCAATGTTGTTTTTCTCCGACGTTCTTAAATACACAAGACAAGTCGTGACGTCAACTACAATGTTGTAATAGCGTATACACTTGAACATATGGCTAGTACTCTGTTAATAATGGTGCAATAATAATGCTCAATTAAGAATTGAATGTCAGTTTGTGTGTTTCCACTGAAAAATGAACGATGTCAAAGCGGTGTTCAAACTCGTGTGAACGAGCGAGTTTACGAGGAGTTCACGCGAGAGGACTGAACAACGCTTTGACATCGTTCATTTTTCATGCAAACACAAACTGACATTCAATCTTATAATTTCGCACTTTGAAGTTTACATACGTTTTCCACCCACTTGTAGATGATCATTGTTTAGTGTGTTTAATACCTGTAAAATGTTGTAATGCCATTCGGTACGTACGTATTGCAGTGATGTTTGTATACGCAGCGATTTTTTTACATGTATCCCAACCCTTGAAGAAATAGTTCTCAAAGTATTCGATCTTTAAAAATATAACAACAAATTCGTTATGAGGTTTGAAACTGCTTTTAATAAGTATAATCAAGAACAGTATCAAACAGAAACAAATATCGAAGCAATAACAATACCATTTTAACAAACTGGCATTGTACCTTTTCACTTGTAAATACCTTGTTTTGACCGCGTAATAATACACTGACCGACTTCGAAGTTGTGCGGCGTGGCGAATAGGAATCAGATCTTGTTGTATTCTATTTATTTGTGATTGTTTATTGTGAAATTTATTGAGCAGTTGTTTAACAGACCTCGGGGCAGAAAACCGCCGGATGAACCCGCAAACTGCGAGACATTAAACTCCTGTGAAAAGGAACAACGTTCGGCAATCCGTTTGGTAGTGACATTGCCAAACTTGGGGTGACTTGAAACAGGTTCGTTCGCGAAATTGGTATCACCAATTATTGGGGGTCCTTGAAACCGAAGCGAAAAACGTTCACACACGTATGAACGGTGTTTACACAAGTATGAACGATTAGAGGGGTTCAAGAGTAATGAACCTTGAAATTTAGATCACATGACCGCTCTCTCAACCAACCAACGTTCGGGAATCTGTGTAAACCTGAAAGCACGAAATTATATACATCTACACAAACAGGAAAATCTAATAACTAATTGACATATGGACAGGGCCGTCCAGTTATTACGTGCTTTCCCATGTAATACGATGTCATCATTTGTTATAAATTGTGACACAACCAAAACGTAGTGTGGATCTTTCTATTGGAATAGTTTGGTTCACCGTAAACAAAACATCATGGAAATATAGTCAACCTCGCTGACTAAATTGACACATGTCATCGTATCCCAATTGCGTAGATCAATGCTCATGCTATTGATCACTGGATTGTCTGGTCCAGACTTGATTATTAACAGACCGCCACCATATAGCTGGAATATTACTGAGTGCGGCGTAAAAATAAACTCATTCATGTCGCCGTTTGACGTCAAAAAGGAAAATCCATGATTGCAAGTCATATTTAAGATTGAATGTATAACGTTGTACATAAGCAAACAAATCAATTTAATATATACTAATGTCGCTCAGATATCAGGCAGTATTTTGGTCTCTCACACTTTCCGTGAAGATGCCAAATTAAAAACATTGTCGCACAGTGCTTTTATCGGTGCACGATAAAAAGCGGTGAAATTTAA